AATTAAGTAATATAATTAATTAACGCGTTAATAGCTTTAAAGTATTTAATTTTATAAAATTTATATATTTAAAGTTTAAACTTTATATTTTAAATTTTTAATAAAATATTTCAAATAATAAAAATATAAATAACTCTTTTATTATATAACTTATAATAATATAAATTAATGCATTTGGTATATAGGTTTCTTTATTAAGAAATTAACGTTAATAGGCTAACGCTATTTACTTAAAGCTCTTAAAGAGGTTTTATTATTAATTAGATTAACTATTCTTTTTAATAGTAAGATAAGAGTAGGTAATAAGAAGCTATTTAAGGGTATTAAGTTATTTAATAATAGAATAAAAGAAGCTAATTAAAAGCTTAAGGTAAAAGTTTATTAAGTTTAAATTTACTTTTATAATAAGTTATTAATATAATAAATATTCGCTCTTTTTATAATTAAACGTAACTTTATTACGTTTATTAAAGTGTAAAATCCTTTAGGTTTTATAAGGGAATCTAATAGATTACTTTTAATAGAAATATCTTTTAATATATTTAAGAGAGAGGCTATAACGTTTTATAATTAAAGGAAGTATTTTTAAGTAAATTTCTTAAATAAAGTAAAGGCTTAAGTTAGTTTTTTAGGTATACTTAATAAAGAGAAGTTATATATTATAGAATTATTATTAAAAGAATAAAGTAAGAAAAGAACTATAACTTTAATTTAATACTTATATTAACTTAAGTATAAAAGTAAACTTATTAATAGCTTATTTTTAGCGTATATAGTGTAATTAAAGTAAGGTTTAGTAAAACGGGTTAATAATAAATTATATTATTAATTTATATTAAAGGGTAATAATAATATAGGGGTCTTTTAGCTAAGTAACTTTATTTAAAGATAAGATTTACTTAGCTTTATTTATAATTTTAAAGAGTAATATATTTTTATTTCTTAGTTTATTTAGGTAATTAAGGAATTTCTTAGTTTAAAAAATAGTTAAAGCTTTAAGGTCTTAAATCATAGAATATTAATAGCGTAAGTATTAAAGAGAATTCTCTTAATAACCTAAAGGGTATAAATAAGATTAACTTAATTTAAGAATAAAATTTAATAGATTTTAATAGAGTTAATAATATTTTTTTCTTTAAAATTAAGAGGCCTTATAACGCTAATATTTTAATGTTTTAACTAAGAGAGTAAGTAAGTATAATTACTATTATATAAGAGCTTATAAAAGGGAGCTATAATAAGGTTATAAGAGCTTATAATATAATTAATAAGTTATATTATAAGAGAGCTAAAAGAAGTAAAGAAGTTAATTATATATTAAAGGAAAAGAGCTAGCTTAAGAGTGCTAGCGTAATAACAGTAATATAATACCTTACACGTAACTATGTGGGCCCTATACCAATAGTGCCTCACACGTGATTATATGGGCCCTAACATCCCTTCGATTCTTGAAAAGTCCTTACGACAAGACTATTCCCGCGTTGTACCCATTGTGTCGTGAACGACTCCCGGCACAGTTCAAGTTTAGGACCACTGGGCAACAGCGCATGAATGACCTGATTATTCGTGTCCACGCCCAAGAGATGACCCGCAACGCCCGCAACGCCTCCCCCGAAGACGCCCAGTCCTTACTTCCTCGATGCGGAGTGCCAAAGAAGAAGACCCCAGTAGCCGACGTGAATATTTTTTTAACCTTTGCGTCTGGATCAGTCTCAGAACGCCGCAACACCTCTTTCACCAAGATCGCACCGAGCGAGTGCGCGATAAAGACCAAATCTCGGTCCGCTGCCTTCCTTCTCTTTGCTTCTAAGTCGTATAATAGGTCTCTCGCGTGGGAGAAAATGTTGCCTTGATGTGCGGCATGGTAGCCTCGGGAAATATTGGTGTTGTAGCCGAACGTCATGATCCTCGCCTTGGGGAAGTCATTTTTGAGCAGGTCTCTTGGCCAGAAAACATCTTTGTCTTGGCCCCTCTCTTCTCCTTTGCAATCTGCCTGGTCGACTTGAACTTCTTCAGATAGTCCAGCCTCTGGGTATTTGCGTTTTCCCGAATAAATGAACCAGGTTGGGAAATCGTGTATTGTCGATTTGGGGGGCCAGCCCGGAGCGGCTTCGAGCTGGTCTCGACCGATACGTCCAAGTATCCTGCGGATGTCCCTGGAGACCGTGGACAGAGACAATACTAGCTCAAGTCAGTTCCAACTATTACCATCGGGACTACTTGTTGGACCGTACTCAATCACAGCGTCGTGGGGATCACTCAGGATGGTAAGCCCGGTATCTGCCATAGGAGTTGGAGCTTCCACGGTCGTCGCCATTAGGATGAATCTCACATTAGCCTTAATACTAAAGCTAGCGAGACGACATGTTGTCGCTAAAGTGGCAGCCTCTAGAGGTCTAGCAACCTGTTCTGGTCACCTTGTGCGCGTTGCTGAGGTTGTTTTTGATCGTCAAGATTCGAAGCCGTAAGGTTACTGTGATGGTTGGGAGAGTTATTGACAAGGCTTTGCGGGGTGGCGGCTGTCTTGACCTTGTCGGCTGGGGCTGGCGACACTTTTGGCCTGTCCATGGCGTGTCAACTCGAACTGAGAGGAGCCAAAGGCTCTCGGCTGCGACGACGAGTGCTTAGTTTTGCCAATTATTCTGTGAACTGGAAATGCAAATGTCACGGCAACCCGCCCACAACTTCTCTGAGAGAAATTGGCTGATTTGGTGGCCAGCCTCGTTGGAAGAAGTGCCCGAGACATGTGGCCAAAATCGTACCACATAAGCCTGGTCCCCTCACGCCACCAATTGAGCGCTTACATTGACACGAGATTCGAAGTATTATTTTGTAGTCTCCACCACCATATTTTGTGGCAGAGAGAACCCGCAGAATCCGCACCAGATGGACCAGACGCACAGTACAACACAAAACGACATTAAGGGCGGAACCTGATCATGCATCCCTTTTCTCTAACAGAGGCAGCCTTATCCGACAAGTACTGGATCACAGCAAAATAAAAAATGACGGTGAAGGTTTCGCAGAAAATAAGGATGTCTGCGTATATTTCAAAGAACATGCGGGCAATGGATGGAGAAACATTCAACAAGTTGCAGGCGCTGGTGAAAGTGAGGTCAAAATGGCAGCTGCTGAACTGTTCAAGGCTTATTGGCTAGTTGGGGCTACGTATGATCACAGAATACGTCGCGTTCATTTGAGGACAATCTTTGCCGATGATTGTTGGCAGTACGCACAAGACTCGGGTATCAGCACTGTGCTTTTGCTCAGTAAAACTAATGAAGTCATTACCCTGTATTGCTAGGCGGAACAAGCAATTGCTTTGTATTGCAGGTAGTAACACGCCCACAACAACGGCTCGCTTAGGCTTTACGACAGTTTCGCCAATTTTAGCCATTTGGTAAATACATTAATATACTCAGTGTCTTAAGAAAGTTTAATCGTGACCTAACATTGAGCAAACGTCTAATATCATGCGTGGCCAGGTATTATAAGCCCCAAGAGAAGATGCCGAATTCCCCCTACAACATTCTTTTCGACTCGGCTGGTCACTTCTCTGCTGTTAGTGGCAAACAACACCCTAGCAGCCCGGACGTTACCAATCCGGCGGATGGTCAATTTCCCCATTCACTTTTTGATGGGAGTATAAGCTGGATGGATATATGCGAACAACCGTGTAATTCTAGCAGTCCTGTGTCGCTGATAGCTGTTTCATTTGAGGAATCAAGTCCGTTGCGATTGAATGTCCAACGAACGGCAGCGAAGACCAACCAATTACTTGTAAAATAACCACCAGGACTTAAAGTAAAACGGCGTTGTTAATCTTAATGCGCAGCCGACCACACCATGTTTAAGACAGCCTTAAGGAAGACATTTGCTTAGAGCCTAACTGCATTGCATCCAACAAATTCCGAGAACGTAAAACACAACGGAATCGCCAAATTCCAGTCAGAGGAATCCACCGCAGAAAACCCAAGCCCGCAAGTTATATTGCATACCCAACGTACTCACAAGCAAGATTTATTCTCTCAAGATGTAGACACTTCAGCATACAGAATGCAACTGCCAGGTTACACATGCCTACACCAATCAAGGAAGCGCATCGTTTTGATAAGGAAGAACTAAGACCAGATGCTAAATGAAGACGTAATTGGGCAATTTAACTGTCCAATAACCTGAAAACTATGCAAGCATCATAAATATTATGCGGATGCTACTCTTTGACCTATTTCACTACTCGTCCAGATATCTAGTGCCTGATCGGGATGGCGGCACTAGGCTGCGTTCAAAAGGATAGGGATTTTGGTTCTACGTGCACATTCAAAGGAAAACGGCGTTAGTGGATCGACATCCATGAGCCAGTATTCATCAAGAATGCCAAAGTTGTTTCATAGCTCGCTCGAACCAGAACGACGACTGGCATGCCATACATAACGTCAACAGCCAATAACTTTATGCTATTGTAAGCCATTCTTACCATAATAATGTTCGTCATTAAATTCGGTCTTGTCTCAATCTCGCAATCAACCATGGGGGGTTAACGAGGCATTTCCAAAGATTGCACATTTCAGGTGGGAATGTAGCGCCACCTCAAGGAAAAGGGGCTTGCCAATTGCTGTTCATTTATAAATATAGCTTCTACATAGCTTTCGCGAAGTATCTTAATAGTGTCTATGATAGTACAGAAGTCGTCCGGTTCAAACTTCTTCGAAAATGGCGGTGCCTGAAGCCACTGATCTGGTTTCCAAGAACCTCCTGACCAAAATTGATAGGCTTCGAGAGACAAATGTCGGTGCAATCATTCCATTGCCTCAGGTACGTTAAGAAAAGGAGTACCATGCACAGTAATACCTTTGACGCGCACTATAGCTCATTGTCGTTGGCGATCAATCATCCGGGAAGAGTTCCGTCCTCGAGAGCGTGACTGGCTTCTCGTTTCCCCGTGCGGCTGGTCTGTGCACTCGCTATGCTACTCAAATCACTTGCGTCCGAGAGGCCGAAAGAAGGGTCTCAGTCTCAATTATCCCTCGCCCAGACGCGGAAGGTCCCCTAAAAGAACGTCTTCTAAAGTTCAATCGGCAGCTTAGCCAGATGAACAATGAGGAGCTTGCCAAGGTCTTTGAAGAAGTATGTTCTTGATCCACTATAATTTCGCCTTTCCCTAGATGTACTTCGACACTAATACTGTCCGCCAAGGCCAACATCGCTATGGGAATTCGTATGGACACGGTTGACAAGTCCAGCGACTTTTCTGCATTCAGCCAAGACATCTTGAAGATCGAAATTAATGGGCCAGATGTAAGAATTGGTCTTCCTTGTACGTTGAGTAGCTTGTCTAACTTTATACGATGCAGCAAGTTCATCTCACTGTCATTGACGTGCCCGGAATATTCAGAGTTCCGACTCCTGGTGAGTATAGCTCACTTTCTACCAAGATATAGCTGCTAACAGCGATTATTAGGCTTAACGGCTGAGAGCGATGTTGTCCTCGTTCGAAATATTGTTAAGGGTTATATGGAGAATAGACGAACCATGTTAGTGTATCTTCTTTGATTGGAGTGCTTCCTTATACTAACACACCAAGTATTCTTGCTGTCATGCCTTGCAACGTCGACATTGCGACACAAGAAATTCTCAAGCTCGCTGAGGAAGCCGACCCTGACGGCATTAGAACGATGGGCGTCTTAACGAAACCGGACCTCGCAACCGAGAAAGCGACCCAAGATGCTGTGATCGACCTCGTCAAGGGCAAACGGAATAATTTGAAGCTCGGGTACTGTGTAGTCAAAAACCGGAGTGCAGACGACAATACATCTAATATGTCGGACCGCCTCGCTGCCGAGCAGTTGTTCTTTATGGCACCTCCTTGGTCCTCCGTTGCCGATCGATGTGGTGTCCCCTCTCTCCAGCTTAGGTTACGAGAGTTGCTTATGGAGATATCTAAACGCGAACTGCCGAATGTAAAGTCCGAGATCGAAAAACGCAAGCGTGAATGTGTGGCAAAACTTGCAGCAATGGGCGAGCCCAGGGCTGACGATAACTCCCAACGTCAGTATCTCGTGAAGATCGCCTCGCGCATGCAAGATATCACTAAGAGTGCTTTAAACGGATATTACGCGGGCGAAGCACTTTTCAAGAAAAAACCCGGTTTCAAGCTAATTACCAAGATTCTCAAGTTAAATGAAGCCTTCTCTAACGAATTCTGGAAAAGAGGCCACTACCAACACTTCGGATCTAAGTGGGATGAAGAGGGAGAGAATATGCTAGGGAATGATGCTGAAACTTTCCCTTTCGATACAGCCTTTAGTCTCTATCAGGAATTAGCAGATATCATTGTCACCGATTTTGAACGCCCAAAAGCTTTGAAGGGACCGATGACACCGCTCATACAAGAGGTCTACGATTCTAGCCGCGGACCGGAGCTTGGCACGGTAAGCGTACAGGATAACACTCTACAACCTATTTTCTCTATGTAGTGCTGACAATTATAGTTCAATGGGACCGTCCTTGCGGATGTTTTTGATACCACAACGCAAAAAAGGGAAGGGCTCGTAGTAACCCATACAAGCAAAGCCATTGTACTCGTTCACGATTATATCTACAATCTTCTTCATGAGCTTTGCCCGGACCCCGCTGTCATGGATCAGCTATGGGACAACATTCTCGTGGAGGAGCTTTGTGAGAGATACCGCCGGGCGATGGAGATGGCGCGATTTCTTTTGGAGATCGAACGCTCTCGTCCGCCCCTTACTTACAACCATTACTTCAACGCAACTCTGCAGAAGAAACGTCAAGAGAGGATGGCTGAATCCTTGCAAAGTCTAGCTATTCACTTCCATCACGATAACAGAGCTTTTGTCCCCCTTGAGCAGATTGGAAAGCATGCTGTCAATATGGACAACACCCAGCAAGTGTGTGAAGACATACTTGACACGCTCGAGAGCTACTACAAGGTCGCTCAAAAGCGCTTCGTTGATACGATATGCCAGCACGTCGTGGACTACATGCTCCTGGGGGGTCCAGAGAGTCCACTCAAGGTTCTCTGCGCTGACAGGGTGCTAAAGCTCAGCTCTGAGCAGCTGGAAATAATCGCCGGGGAGGATACTGCATCAAAAAACCAACGCCAGGTTCTCACGCGAGAATTGGAGAGCCTTCAAAAAGCTGCGCAGGTACTGCGTAGCTGAATCTCAGGGTTCAGCTGACGAGACAGACAGCGTGAACAGCTCTGGAAAAACCTTGGTTGGTATTATGAGAGGGTTTTAGAAACAGAGTGTGACGGGTGGCTAACGAATTCTGCTAATTTACGAGGTCGCCTCCGTTTTGAGTATTACCTGACAGCTCGAGGTTTACAACAGGCAGTGCTTGTAAGACTGTAGTAGGAGATTGCTGTTGGCGGTTCGTTCGCCATAATTAACTGACTTGTCTTGCTATCTACGTCCTTAAAGTAGGGAACATCACAAGGCCAGATGTAGACCTTTCCTAAGTTATAAGTAATATAAGTAATTTATTTATGGTCTTTTAGCGCTTAAAACCTTTTAAAACCATTAAATTATTAATGTTATAAATAATTAATTAATCTATTATTATAAAACTCTATTAGTATTATAAAATCTAATATATTAATTAATTTACGAAAGAATTTTAAGGAAAGGCTTATTATATATTATTAAGGAATATAACTTAATTAATACGAAGCTTAAAGAAGCCTTAAAAGAGCCTTATAACCCTTATAAAAATAAATTAATATTTAGCTTATCTTATAAGTATATTATTTTTTAATAATTACACAATAAATAGCTAATTAAACTTAAGGAAATTAATAAGTATTAGTATAAATGTTATAAAATAACTTTAAAAGATATAAATTCACCTATTAGACTATTTAAACCCCTTTCTATTAAGGTAAAAGACTAATTAAAGGGGGCTCTTAGGTTAAAAAAAAGTTCTTATATTAATTTAACCTAACGTAAGCTCTTTAAATTTAAATACATGATTAGAGCTCTTACGGATATAGTAAATATAAGTGTATTATATATTATATATAAGTAAAAAAAACCCCTGTTTTTTTAAACTTAAGATTATAAGGCTAATTATAAGAGTTATAAAGAATAATTTTATATAATTAAGAAGAGTTAAATTAGCTCTTTAAAATACTCTATTTTTACTATTATAAGTTATCACATTAAAAAGTTATAAGCAATTAAAAATTCGCTTTACTTTACTTACTTTTTATTTTAAGACATAACTTTAAAGCTTAATATCTCGCTTAATATCCACATTTTAAGGTGAGTTTTTAAAGATTTAAAATCACGTGATTTTTAGCTTTATTTTAATATATAATATGCTTATATAAGCATTTATTTATAATATTAGATATTTTATAGCCTTATAATACATTTGTAGGTATTCTTATCTTATAATATATTATAATATAATATAATATAATGTAGTATAGTAAAAAATACAAAAAATACAATACATTTAGAGGTCTATACATGATATTTAAAGAAGCTATTAAGGCTTAAGTTAACCGTAAAAATCATTAAAATCGTTAATAATTATTACCTTTAATAGCGCTCATAGTAATTAAAATAATATAAATAACTTTAATAGCTATTAGCCTTAAAGCTATTAATTAAGATAATTTATATGAGTTAAATACTAAAAGCTCTTAAGACAGTGACGTTCGTAACAGGTATTAAGAGCTCTTAAGGTTATATACGTATTATAATTATAATTAAAGATTATAATAAAATTGATAAATTTCCGGTTATAATATTAAAGAAATTATTACTAAAAGCCTTATAACGTCCTTTTATAAAGTTATAATAAAGCAGTTAAAATACCTTATTTATTTAGAATAATAATATTACGCTTAAATTTAAAGGTTAAATAAATTAAGTCTTTAAAGAAATAATATAATAAGCAGCTATAATAAATAATATTATATAATAATTAATATAAATAATAAATATCTTAGAATAACTTCATTTAAATTAATTAAATTAAGCGATTTTTCATAAAGGCGCGACCATATAAACACATTTTACGTTATCCCCATATAAAAATCTATGGGGGCCCGGTATTAGGTGTCGCAGCCACAGCCAGCCACAAAAAGAGTGCTTGATAACATAGAGGGGATGCTTATTAACTAGGGCCTAGATGAATAGATTGCATGTTCATTTCATTCTTCATTCTTCATTCTTCATTCCTTGTTCCTTGGCCGCTTGTTCGTGCCACCACAGCACCCCACCTCATCAATCGCGCCGCGCAACCACCACAGAAGGAAATGCAGAAAAAAAAAAAGTGTACATGGCGTGAATTGAGCCCTACATCTATCTGTATTTACTTGCCATCCGTCTACCGCCCATCCCTGCCTATATACCCGAATACACCCCATTCGCCGCATCCAATGTCAGTATTAATGCTGAATTTTAGACAGAAGGAAAAAAAGGACAGGTCCACAACCGTCTAGCGAGTTGTACATGTCCGCCACGCCCACGTCTCTCGCCCACGTTACTTGGTAATTAAGGGAGCGTAAATCAGGCGATACCAGATTGCCCACCCAGAGGAGGTCCAAGCGCATCATGTAAAATAGACCCCCCAAAAAACAAAAAACTCCATTTCCGTCTATGGCCATGCAGTGAGTGAAAAGGGACAATGAAAAAAGATACTAGGGCAACGAGGCTTCGAGATGTCCTGCTGCTACAGGTCCGATGAATACATATTACTTGATGCCAATAAAAAAAAAAGACTCGGAGACTTGCAGAAATTATGAATATTTTGTGTAAAAATTGGGTTTCTTCCCCTCTCTTTTTTTTTACCATGAGAATGTCATGAGGGCAGGGTTCAGCGCCAAGGGGAGGAGGAAGTGGCTCGCGGCGACGGTGGCCATGGGCAAAATAGCCACAAAGTCGGTGATGCGCCAGTCGTGGGGGACGAACGGGGCGACTGCCATGATGATCATGCCGGCAATGGCAACGAGCGAAAAGAGCATGGAGAATTTGAACTATACAACCATCGTACGTTAGCAAGTGATGTGTCAGATGGGCACGGTTGCCGCAGCCTTTAAAATGCCCCGGGAATAGAGTTTGTCTGTAAAGGGCGACGTGGAAACTATTGGAATGTGGAACTCCAATGCCAAGAGGGCATCTCTTTTATTCTCGAACTAGCGAATCCTCACGAGGATCCTTCCGAGAAACAACCCCCGCCCTGCTTACGGAATGAAGAGAGAGAGAGGAGGGTGGGGGGGGGGGGAATAATATTTGTACATGCCAGGACGTGTAGTAAAAACTCACCTTCTTCAAAACTTTGGGAACCTCGATGAAGAAGTTGGAAAATTCGGCTTCCTTGCTTGTGGCACCCCAAGTCATGTTGACCTCAAACATGTGAGCCAAGAGAGCCTGGCTAACGTGTAGCGACAATCCGCCCAGGAAAATTGCCAGCATAATCGTCCACTTGAAGTTTTCGAACAGCGCGTACAGAATGTTGCGCTCACCGACACGATATCGCATCACAGCGAGAGCGATATTGCCAAGTCCGTTGAAGACGATGATGATGGAAAACCACACCTTCCAAGAGTCGACATAATACTTGTCCAGATACCCGTTGAACCAGCCCATGAGGAAGTAGTTGACAGTTGTCATGATCCAGGCCGCGCCAATGGCGTAATACGTTCCAATGTACGACACCACCGTGATCTTGGAGGTGAAGCGAATGTTGGAAAAGAGGAAACGGCGGAACAGAGGAGTGAAGGGGCCGCGCCAGAGCCAGGTGCGGATGGGGTGGAAGAGCAGTTCGTTGCAGCCGTAGGCGTACTTCTCCCATCGCGCAAGCTCGTCATACACGGTCAGGGACACGCCCTCCTTGAAACCTTCGCCAGCCCACGCGGCGAGACGAATGATGTAGCCATTGCACTGCAGACGGAGCGACATGTCAAAGTCTTCAGACACGTGGCTCTCGGACCAGAACTTGTCATAGCCGTCCTCATCTTGGTAGGAAACCTGTTGAATGGCAGACCAGCGAAGAATGGCGTTGTGGCCGACAAAGGGAGCAACATCGCCGTTGGACACAGTGTATCGAATGGCTGAGTAGATGAGATTGGTGAAGAATGTGATGCCGTTCTCGAAATACGTGTGCACAACCTGCATGACACCGGACGAGAATTGCATGATGCCGACGTCGGGAGACTGCTCCATTTCAGAGACAGCGTCGAGGAAGCAATCAGCAGGGACACGGGTATCAGAGTCAATGAGAAGAATATAGTCGCCAACACGAATGTTTCCGTCCGCCCAGGCGCGGCCATCCTCCTCGAGGACCTCCTTGAGAGCCTGCTCATAAGCCTGGGCCTCGTCATGCTGACTCCACTCAAGGGGACGGTTGATGGCCTGAAGCCTCTCCTCGACCTTGCAAGAAATCATGAGGGCAAAGTTCATGTTGGAGGCCTTCTTGAACTTGCCCTTGCGCTGGAAGCCGTTCTCTCCATGCTTGGGACGCGCAACCCAGCCAATGCTGTTGTCGGCATAAAATTCGATACGGGCATGACGCTCCTCCTCCGAGATGAGTTGCAGACCGTCATCATTCACAAACATGTTGGCTGACCCGCCCTGAAGCTCATAGGTAGACATGGCTTGCTTGATGGACTTGACGGTGGGAATAATGACGCCTTGCAGACCTTCCTTGTAAACGGGACACTGGATGGTGACGTGAGGCAAGACAGGGGTCTGCAGGCGAGGCGGAGGTCTTGCCGAGTAGAACTTGGAATTGATGGTGAGTTGCCGAATGGGGCCGAAGATCTGAGCCAAGCAACCGACAATGACTTGGGCGAAGAAGAGAGTAAAGAAGATTTGGATGGGGAACAAGGCCACGAGCGCCAAACGAACATAGTTGCCATCGACGGAGACTTCAATGGCCAGTTCACGCCAGGCAGCTCCAAGGGAGACGGTTACGAGGATGAGGGTGAGTGACACCAAGACGGTGTTCTGTAGGTGGATAGGTCGCTTTTCAGGCTTCACTTCACCACTCTCCTCGTCAATCTCGGCCTCGGCAATATTGCTCCCCCTCTTCTCGTCCTCTTCATCATCGGTATTGCCCGCCCTCCACACGAGTTCCATGAGCTCCGACTCAATGGCTTTGGCACGCTGAACAAGGTGTAGCGGGTCATCGTCCCACACGATCAGCAGACCCTCGGAAGCGACAAAAGCAGCAAATTGGTGTTTACGCGCGCGAGGAAGATCCTCGATTGTGGGCAGAATTTGGACCCGCAAACCGTTCATCAAAGGTACGTCGACGGCGTCGGGGGACCACTGGAGGAAAGTTTTGATGACGCGAGAATTGACAGTCATGGCCGACTGAACATTCATGGCTGAGCAAGCCAAGGCAAAGGGCGAGCTGCCGAGTTGAGGAGGGCAGGCCATATAGTGGCCTCTCACTTTTCTGAGAAGAACACCTTCAATCTCACCAGATCCATCACTGACCCAAAGTTGGGAACATTGTTGTTGGTACAGGTAGTTGACCATGACTTCGTGCTTGATGTCGTCAAGAAACATGGAACTCCCCACTGTTGACGGCGTGGATCGACCTGATCGACCGGAGCTGGACTGCGGCCTTGAGTGGAAGCGAGGAGTAGGGGGCTGGAGTTCCATGTCGTTTCCGCCGATGTGAAAAGAAGACAGTGGCCTGTCCGACAACGAAGAAGGCTGCTGGCTCCGGATCGGTCTAGCAGTTGGAACATCTATCTGCGCCGGAGTAGGTTCCGACTTGTTGCCAGTTTTGAAGTAGCTGGTAAGACCCATGTTGGGCTATGGACCCGAATTCGAGTCGCGTCAACTCGCTCTCAGATAAAGTCGACGCTTTGTTCCGAGGAGACACGGCGGGGATCGACTCGAAGAAAGGCTATGGATCGGTTTGCCGGGCTAAAAAGCAGACTCATTCACTATATACTAACAATCGGATTCCAAAAGACGTCGAACTAACGAGGGCGGCGACCCGGATATTATGTATCTGTAAAACAATTGCGGACTAAAGAAGGACGTCGATGAGGTAGCGAATGTTCTCGGGCCGGGCTCCTCCACAACGAAGCGAGGCGGTGGTGATGGAGAGAGCGCGAGGATCCCGAATCGTCGGCCAAGCGTAACCAGCCTGGGGCCGTACCGGAAGACTTAGCGGGCTGCCAACGACAAAAGAGGGATGGGAGATGGGATGGTATTAAAGAGAGAAGAGACGGCGAGGCGGGCAGAGGCAGAGAGGAAGTGAAAGGCATACATAGGTGAAGATGGTGGGCGCTGATAATAGTCCTCGCGGACGTGCATCCAGGATCCCAAGTCCAACCAGCGCGAGAGGTGGGTATGGACTTACAAGATCTGTAGCTTCTGTGCGATCTTTTTACTCAACAGCCCACACTCGCCTGGACACAGGGACAGTCTCTGGCAGGGGGGGAGGGTGTATGGGATGCTGCCAGGTCCTCTCTTCGAGACTGGAACTCGCCCCAAGGATGGAGACGACCTATTCTGGGCGTTTTGTCGTGTCGGAATTACCTTGACAGAGATGTAGCGAGCAACGGGAATCCGGCCAGGGCAAGAAAGCAGTAAAGCAGGAGACCTGAGGCCCTTTCATCTCGATCTTGACAGGACGGACCCCCCGGCCAGGAGGAAGGACGAGCAGAAGTCATGATATACGAGCGGCGCAACATGAAAAGGGCGGCAGGCTACAGTGATGCGCAGAGCGATGGAGCCCTTGAGCCCTTGAGCCCTGGTGCCCTGGTGCCCTGGTGCCCTGGCGTCATGGTGTCATGGTGGCCAGGAAGAATGGGCCGGAGTTAGAGGTGAAGCTGATGGACGATGCATCGTGTCCTGCAACACCCGCTCGGGAATTGTCTTGGGCTTCGCTTCGTTCCATGGGGATTCAAGAGGGGCGTGTGCCAGGGAAAGGGGATAAAAGCCACCGCACCCTGGTCCATCCACGTTTTTTCTTCGGTGGACCCCACCCCCTGCCTGGCTACAAGCTTGAATCAACTTGACCCTTTGAAGCGAACGAATGGATGGGCTGAGACGCAGGCACACCGTTCAAAGTGGCCAACGGCGCTCGCTGAAGATAATGCTACTCCGTACTCATTGAACGGTTGCCCGTGGCATCCCTAGGTTGATCATCTGTTTGTCTCGGTCAAAAATAGATGTCTGCCACCGCAAGACACCAAGGCTGCCGATGCCCGGTGGATACAAGCTCGACCGCGAATTTTCGGTCTAAAGAAAAGAAAAGGGGAGAGGAAAAAAGAAAAAGAAAATTAAGCAATCCACATGGGGTCGGCGGCGGCAAGATAGGACAGGTCGAGAGGCAATCCATCATCACAGCGCTTCGCACGCGCTTGGCGAGACCGCCCTTCGGGACAAAAGCAAACCAGGCCACGGGTTCCTGGCGCTACTCTCCATTTGAAGGGGCCATTGCCCGTATCCATACCAAGGTAGCGCTTTGGCGACAGGGCCGGCTGCTTCAGAAGTTGGCCAACGCCCACATCGATGCCAGCGAAGACCCAGCGCCAAGGCCAAGAGGGCCAAGAGCTGGAGAGACCCAGAGTTCTCGGAGCTCGAAAACCGACGAACTCATTTGCACTCGCCAGGCGCTCTTCTCCTCCGTACTCCGTGCAATAGTGGACGACCGTGGCCGATTCGAGGCTAGCGCCTCCAGAAGTGCTCGAGTGCTCGAGTGCTAGAATGGAAACGCGGGCGGGCTTTTGTACCGGACTCTTGGCAGGTCCAGGGCGCCAGCTTGACCGCTCGGGCTTCTTTGGCTTCCATTGAGGAAACCGGAGACCGCCACAGCAACGCCCACAGATCGTCATCGGGGAGGCTATCTGGTCATCTGGGGGTGCGAGACGGCAAGGCCTGGTGGCTTCGGTGCTCAAGCCGCCTGAAGCACGCAAGAGAGCACGTAAAAGCGGCGATGCGCATCTTCCCCGCCTGGGCCACCGTTCCCCTCGCCCTGCCCCGCCCAGCTGTGGCGCAAACGCTTGCACGCTTCTGGTCTTTTTGGGTCAAGCAGTCGGTCGTTTAAACCACGCGCGCACACACACACATACACACACGTTACTATGCCTTTGGACCACTACTTGGTTTTGTTACAACAGCCCTGGCCAGTCTTGGCTCGCTCGTTCGATCCGAATTGGAGGGTAGCGACCCCTCCGTATGACCGAAGACTTGCACACATCCCGCCTTCTTTTCACCGTTGACAAGAGCGCCTTGACAGGCAACCAGATACCTATCATGGTTTCGCTACATAACGCTGATCCGGCTGCATTTCCTAGCCCTGCCGACGCGGGTGTCAGCCACCAGAGGGCTGGAACTTGCATGACATTATCAGAGATTAGAGTACAAGGCCCAAAGGTCCCAATAGCAACGTACAGCAAGAGGAGTTTGATAACGCTCTTACTGGCCGTCCAAGACGGCGACGTTAGCCAAATGCAATACGGCCGTGTGTGGCGCAAGACCGTTTTGCCCACCAGCAGCCGTTCCATCGGCCTGTTCGTGGACGCAATACAAACAATCATGATACAAGAAACAATGCGGGACTCTCACTGCAGCCCGTTCCAGGCCCGGCCAAGTGAGACAGTTTCCTCCACGGCGGTTTGTTTGTCCATGGCCTTTGCTCCAACAAGCAGGGTTCAAAAGGCTGGCACAGTGTCCTGTCGCCACGGACGCAAAATGCGAAATAGACACAAAGAATGCGAAACCGAAATGCGATTCAAAACACCAGCATTGACCAAGGAAAAATAGTAGACGAAATTCCCATCAATTGCGAATCCCAGGCCTTGGTGGCACAACAGTCTTGTTATCGATGCTGGACTACTCCAGCGTGCGGCTCTCTATATCTTTTCATTTCCTAACCGCAATAAGCTGGAGGGCGATTATCGCCGGTGTTCAATCACGTCGGGATTCTGAGAAGCACAGCAGAAGAGAGTCAACTTCCGGCGGGGTGTGCGATCATGGATCGTCATGGTGGACAAAAACGACGACGTTCGCGCTTCATGTGGTGGCCATGAGTCGTCGGGCCGCCACCAGCCTATTTTTGGTCTCGTATTCTTCCTGCACGCTGCCGGCCCAATGCACAACCTGCATCCTGAACCTGAAGCTGGATGCCGGCTCTTTCTTGTCGTCTTTGCAAACAATGGGGTTGTTTGGTTGTCTGCACCCGAATTTCTTCACCTGGCTGCCCCCGGCAAAGGCAACTTTGAACATTTCCATCCATCGTGTTTGGCAGTCGGTATATGCGCTGTCACCCCAAAGCTCTTGTCATGAGATACAAGATGCACGAGGACCCCGAGGTCTTTGGACTTTTTGTCGTCCTGCTGACTCTATATTGTGTAGGATTTCCCAAGCACCCATTGATGACAGACAGTTGATGACTAGCTTCATTGTGAAACGAGTGGTGCTATCGCTCCATGAGCACGGTCAGGGCCACCAACGCCATGGGCTGTTTGTGGTTGTTCCTTTCGCACGGGCTCTTCCCGCTTGTGTGCGAGGACATCATGACCCACCGGCCAAGAACGACGGGGGGGAGCAGATTAGACGTCTAATACCACCCGGACCTGCAATCACTCCAAAACTGGTGACGAAAAGGCAGTTTTCAGCCACGCCGCTGAACTCTGACGACGATTTGAGCCGGTACTTGTAGACCCAGTCAAAAGACGGCTCTTGTGACACTGGTCAGAGGGCTCCATCTGGAATATCACAAAACTGACAGAGATGACGATTGCTGCCGTGCTAGGGCTGCTGGGATTAGTTCAGTCTTGTCCAACCACGACACACACGATCGGGATATTGAGAGCCAGGGTAGGCATACGGGTAGGGAAACTGGTACGACGGGAACGCGACGCTGCTGAGCGGTAGCCGCCATCTATTGAACGGTGATGGCCTGGATGTAATTTCGCTCCCAGCCGTCCCAGGTGCACTGACTGATTGTGTTTGCAAATACGGCTACCAAATCGGGCTGGGTGATTGCCAGTTCCTTTCGGATTGTATCAATGTGACTGCGGTCAGTCGACGCCAGGTCTGGACGAGGCTCGAACATGGGCCCGTCTTGGTGTTTTCTATGGTCGGGCAATACCACCAGGTCCAGACCGGGTGCTTGGTATTACCGGGCCTCTACGAAGAGTCCGGGTCCCAAATCCGGACAAGCGGCCATTGCGATTCAATTGGGGCAACACGACGAGACCTTGCCGGGCATGTCGTGATACCTCACAATGGGCACTTTGCAATGACTGCCAGCTTTACACTGCTTGACATTATTGATCCCTAGGCCCCGGAATGGTGCACACATCCATGGTATTGCATTGCCCGAACGATGAGCCACGTTGCAGCATTTCACCGAAAAGGGCGCATCTCTCATCAAAGACTGGCAGGCGCTGTCTACTTGGTAGATTGGGTCTCTGGACAAGGCTGACGACTAACACGAGGTTGAGCAAAGTGTTTGAAATACGGGGACCAGCTCAGTGATTATGCCTGGTCCCTTCCCTTGTCAAGCCCGTCCGAACTCGATGATGGGCGTCACGGCCGCTGCTCCATCAGTTCCCGTTGTAGCGTTGTCTTTGCCAGGAGAACGAGGCCAGATCCTGATGCTTATATCGTCCCATCTCATACACAGCAAGCAAACAAGCAACAATTTTTAGGTTTGCACACCCACCGCCTCGTTCATGCCCGCGCAGACTTTGCCTCGACGGAAAACAGCGCCCAGTTGTCCGGTTTTTTAAAACTTGCCTGCATTTGCCAGCGTACCTGCATCGTCAACAGGGCCTAGCTAGGGAAACTGTCCCCTTTCCACGTATATACAAGTAGGCGCCAGCCGCGTCTATATGACAAAGTCTTGAAAGGCCATGCCAGCGAGCGCCAGTCCCTGCACATCGAAGGGCCATGTAGCACGCAGTGCCAGGATAGCACAGCAGAGCCCCAAAAAAGGAAAAACAAGTGCTTTCAATTTTTTTTACGGAGTAAAAGTCCCCTTTTTCCTCGGTAGCACATAATGTTGACGCCCGTAACGCAATCATGCTTGTCACGGCAGCCACAGCAGGAAATGTAAGCACAAACGTGGTATTCGACGTGGCGCTGGGAAACTAGTGGCGTGGGCGTGAAGCGGGTGAGATTCGACGCAGCTGCGTACTTCCTGGTACTCGTGCCACGCCCCACATTAGGTAATTCAGCTAGCAAAGCCCTCACCACTAAAGGTGGTGCTTATTACTAAGGCGGGCACATTAGTAAGGCGGGTAGCTTTTTAACCTAATAGCTTAATTTAACCTCTTTACATATAATATATACCCTTTTCGTCTTAAATTTTTAATGCTTTTAATAAAAAAGTTTAACGCTATTAACGTGCCTTTTTTATAGCTTTAAAAAAGGCCTTTTTAATTAAGTTATAGTGTTTTTTTTAGCGGCCTTAATAATTTAATAAGTATATTTAATGCTATTAATAGCCTTTTATTATATTATTTTACGTGCGTTAATTATAAAAAGTATACTATTAGATTATAGACTATAGTATATAATTTTTTAAAGCTTTACGTTTTTATAATAATAATTAAGCTACTTTAATACTCGTAAGGTCTCTTTTTATTTATATAAGCTTAATAGCTATAATAAAAGACCTATAAATAAAGCGATTAATATTATATATAACTTTAAGTTTAAGAGATATATTATATTCTAGTATATCTCTTAACTTATTAATAATCTTATTTATTTATTTAAGGGTTATAAGAGTCTTGAAATTAAAAGATTCTTTATAATTTAAAGCTAATAATAAAAGCGTGTAAATTAAAGCTTAATTTTTAAGAGCTTAAATAATTAACTGTAAATTATAAGGTAAAATTCTTGTTTTTTAAAAGGCTAATAAAATAATAAAGGTTTAAAAAGCTTTTTTTCGTATATTAATTTAATTATATAATATAATTTATAGCTATTTAAAATTAAAAGGTAATAATCGCTTATTAGCTTTAAAAACTCGTAAAAATATCGTATTTAAGTAAGCTTAATTTTATTATTTAAATAACCTAATAATAAGAGTATAATCTTTATATTTACTTTAAGTTCCTTTAATTTATATTAAGATTACATGTGTTTTTACCTTAAAAGAATAAGAAAAGCAAAAATAAAAAGGCTAATAGTAAAGATAACTTTTATTACTATTATAGCCTCGTAATTTTTAGGTATTATAATTAAATATACTCTTTTTTATTTCGTAATAATAAGCTTACTTTTATTAATTTTAATATAAAATCTAGTCTTATTTATATTTTAGATATTATAAGAAGGGATTTTATACTTTTTAATAATAGTATTTAAGGTATTAAAATAAGTAAAAACTCTTTTAACGTCTTTTAAGGCTTTTTAATTTATATCTAGCTTTCTTTAAAGGTATTTATTATAGCTATATTACTTAATAAAGCGTATAATTTAAAGCTTTTTAATAGACTTAAGTAAAGCTATTAATATTTACTATTAAATAGCCTTTTTTAATAAAAACGTTATTAACTTATTATTCAAGCGTTATATAAGACACGTTAAATTTTTAAGTTATAATAACTAGTTTTACATTTATATTTTTATTAATAAATTAAAGAGCTTAAATAACACGTGAATTAGCTTTATTTTTTAACTTTTAAACGTTAATTACAGCTATTTTCGCGGTTTAACGCGTCTAGGGTTAAAAAGCTACCCGCCTTACTAATGTGCTCGCCTTAGTAATAAGCACTACCTTTAGTGGTGAGGGCTTTGCTAGCTGAATTACCTAATGTGGGGCGTGGCACGAGTAGAGGGTGAGGGGGCTGAGCTGAATCTCGTCTTTGCTCACGCC